CCCTTACAGTAGGCATCTACTGACCGTATGAAAACAAACTTCTTATTAGCATGTCCATTCTTCTAAATGTTTTTGGCCTCCTATGCAGTAGATAAGCTAAACTAAGGTCGGAGCACCATGTTCCAGGCAAAAGTTTAGATCTTGTTTAGTGCTGCTGTACTACTTTTAAATGGGCAACCCCATTAAATTATCATTTGAATTCGGTAACAGGTATGCCACCTAATATAATAATAATTCTTTCGTACATGAAGTTGTAATACTTAATAACATAATTTATCACTTTTTTGATTTTTTTAAAAAGTATACAAGCAAAGCAAGAGTTGAACTACTATTATCTTGGACATAAACTGAGCCCATTTCATAGCTATCGAGGTTACCCTCAAAAAATAATGTCACCTTTAATAGCAGCTTGTCAAATAACTGCCCAAGAACTAGCGACTTTCATAATACATTTACACAATTACTTCTATATTCTTTGCGAAAAAGTGTTGAGATTTCAGAAGCGCAACCGGCTAAACACGAAGTTATGAAAGAAATTGTGTCCTTCAAGGTAACTTCGTGTCTAGTCACAATAGGAATTTTTTGATCTGCCATAGGTCGTAGCTATACATACAACTTTTACGCAGAAACAACAAGCGGAATATGTATTTTGTACTAACAATGAAAAGCAGTTATCAGATCTTTGGCTTGTAACACATGTTCACTTGGCCCATGCAGCTTGTAAATGGTTGAAGTATTTTTCCGTTGCAGTTTGCGGATCGTGATGCGCAGTTTGATATAATTCATTAGCGGTAACTCGATTAGTGCTACAAATATATTTTGATAATCGTCTTAACAGCCGCCGTAAGACACCAATAGCTGCCAGAGATAACCAGATAACAATCGATAGTGATCTGAAGTATAATTTATTTTGGTTTTTTCTTTGGCTCCCTTCAAATCATTACGACTTGCACACAACTTTACGAGCATTTCAGATGGATTCAATGGAAAAAACTCTAACTTTGTTTAACAAAGACCATTTAGCGATAAAAACCAGATATGAGCTTAGGCTCATTTGAAAAGGCTTTGTAACACTGTTTAAAAATATTATAGTGTATACAAGAATTTGGTGCATACGGAATGAATTAAGTGCAAAATAGGAATTTCTGACCAAAGTTGTAGCTATCCCATATAATATTACAAAAAACACTACCTACATGGCTACATAGGTGTTGAAAGCTGCATAGATGACCTGGCTGACGGGTTTATCTTCGCCAATAACCACATATGCGATTCCCGACAAAAGACAAGCTCCAAATCCCCAAACAGACACGCCAATAATAGCAAATTTGAGCCACTGAAATTAGATTTTACAATCATTAGATCTTGTCACTGTATATCTTACCACATTCAAAAAATAAAAAACCCTTGTTCCATACTTTCCTAGGTCGAAATTTACGTTGATGGTTGTGAAGTCCATATGTTTTGTTCAATCACTATCTCTTCTAATAGCATATTACTAAATCTAATAGTCATGTGAGCAAAGAACTACCTTAGTCACACGAACGTTCTCGGCTAGCTGAAATTTCGTGCTCAACGTATAGACAAGAGACGATTGACTCCCTTGTTTCGAGAGGTCGCGAAGTTTGAAGACATCACGACGATGTACGACAATAATGGCAACAGATGAGAGCATGAAAACAATGATGCTCACTATTATAATGTACGGTACCAGATGTAAGCCTGGAATTTAAGAGTCAAAGTATAAGACAATTCCCTTCTAGTACTTTTGACGCGAAAAAAATAATAGGTTGCTTTTCGTCTTATTAACAATTCTGTACAAACTCACAATTGAATTTTCAATTTTTTTGCATATTATGAACTATTTGCAAGTATAATTAATAATCAGAAAACCACAGTCCTCTCATCACTTACTGAAACTTACCAAACTGCTGGGACCAAAAGTACATAGAAGCAAGTAGAAAAGAGCTTCCATTCACCAAATACGATACCCATGGACGACTCTTGCTCTCGTAGTCGTTAATATATCGTGACGCAAATGTTCTCTCAGCAATAACAGCCGGTATCATCGTCACTATAGCACATAAACCATGTCGAGTAATCAAGAAAAGTAGTAGTATGTGGCCCGAGGAACCTGAAAATTATCTTTTTGCGCTTTTGTAAGCGGCAAAAACTTCATATTGACCTCTTCTTTCCAATAGACCTATTTCAAAGAGAAAGATGAATATTTTTGAGATTTGCGAAATGGTGACTGCAATAAGATGGACCTGAAAGTATGCAA